GGGTGAGTTCATGTCATAGTGGTGATAGAAACCAGCATAAAATAGCATGTCATCCCTTCTCACGAATCTTTTGATTTATTTTGATTTATGCATCATCTTTCGTCTCGCCTGAATGGTTTGGATGCTTCACAACTATCAAAACCTCAAACATATCAGGAGCAGAAACACGAAAATGCTGCTGAAAAGTCTAATTATAAGGAAAAGAGGGGATTTACTAATCATCTGATTTCAAGTACCATTGATTTAATCCATGGAGGGAACTGTGTAAGAATATGGCGACCAGGTTACTCCTCTGAGACACAAGCTTCAGCCAATACGCTCAGGACTTAACAGCCAAAATGATTGTCATTTGCTAACTGATTCGCTTATATAATCCGGTCACACTGTACGCTAACGATATTTCCAACATCGTAGTGACGCATTTTCCTGTCTTAGCGTTGAATGATGCAATCGTAAACACCAAAATAAACTTGAGTTTCTTCAGAGTTACAGTTTCACCTTAACATAAATGCCAATGTAATTGATAAAATGCTTAATATAAGCGGTTACGTTCAAAATCATGAAGAATTGAAACATGTTAACTAAAATATATCAGTACCGCGAAACTGAAACCATAGGAAAAGGAAATTTATGTTTGTTGGGTGTTACTAGTACTTCATAGTAACAGGTAGGCCAACAAACGTCTAAATTCACTGATGCTAAGTCGATTTTTACTAGTTTTCACTGCTGAATTGTACTAGATTAATCATTGTTAACTGAAGGAAAATATTTTTCTAAATGGTATCAGTTACGAAAGAAAAGCTTTTTAGAAATGTGTATTTCTGCATGGTAAAATGACATTACTTGAATTCAGTTATTTTTTTGAATGAATTTTGAGTGGATGACCTTATTTTTTTCGAAAAGCGCACACAGAAATAATGACAATACCAGATGTCACCTGAAGAGCAAACTATCTTCTGAAGAAAAACTCTTTCTCCCGAAATCGCTCTCTAACCAGTAAAGACATACTGACTTCAGCAGCAGGTGACATCATTAACTGATATTGTAGAGAAGAAAAGACCCATGAGGCTCGAAGCCAGTGTTTATTACGACAAACCTATTGTAGGCATTAAAATTCGGTATACCCCATCTTCATCATCATCATCTTGGAGAGAATCAAACAAGCCCTAGATGAAAAGCTTCGACCGGAACAGGCCGGATTCAGGAGAAACAAGTCATGTATTGATCAATCGCCACTCTACGGATCATCATTAAACAAAGCTTGGAATGGCAGTCACCTCACCACCTCACTCAACTTCATCGACTTTGAAAAGGCCTTCGACAGCGTCGATCGAGGGGTAATTTGGCAACTACTTCGCTACTACGGGGTCCCATCGACAATTATACATCTCATCCAACAGTTATACGACAATGCTGCATGCCAAGTAATGCACAACGGGAAACTTACGGAAGCCTTCGAAGTAAGGACGGGAGTGAGACGAGGCTGTCTACTATCACCAATGATTTTCCTGATTGCAGTAGATTGGATAATGAGACAGACAACGGCCAATGAGGAGACAGGCATAAAATGGACTCACACAAAAAACTTGGAGGATCTGGACTTCGCCGATGATATATGTCTGATTTCCCACAAACCGAAAGATATGCAAGAAAAGCAACAAGTTGGCAGAAGAAACATCAAAGAAAGATATGAATTCAGGTGAACATAGATAAAACAGAGGTGATGAGGATTCCTGGCCAACACCAACAGCAACAACAACGACAGACAACAATCAGCCAGCATAAATGGGAGGAACCTGAAAGAAACAACCTCCTTTACCTACCTGGGAAGTATCGTTTCAACTACGGGCGGAACTGACGAGGATATAAAAGCCAGAATCGGAAAAGGAAGGCAAGCTTTCATTACTCTCAAGTCTGTGTGGAAGTCAACAGCACTCACCATCAAAAATAAGATCCGGATTTTTAACTCCAATGTAAAGTCAGTGCTACCATACGGATCAGAGACTTGGCGAGTCATAAAGAGCATCTCAAACAAACTTCAGACTTTCATTAACAGTTGTCTTCGCTCAACACTACTCAAGATCAGATGGCCAGAAAAGATCAGCAACAGGGATCTCTGGCAATGAGAGAACCAACATAGCAGGAACCAAGTGTGAAACAAATAGGCAGGAAGAAATGGAGATGGATTGGCTGGTTATACGCTGAGGAAACCATCAAGTGACATCACTAGACAAGCCATTGCTCGAGTGGGACCCGAAAGGGAGGCGGCGAGTTGGTCGTCAGTGCAAGGGTGACTTGGAGGAGGTCATGTGAGAAGGAGATGAAAGCATGTGGGCGGACTTGGAGCGGAGTGAAAAAGTTGGCAGAAAACAGAAGGCAATGGAGGTGCGCAGCTGAAGCCCTATGTTCCTATAGGAATTAAAGGATATAATAATAAATAATAATAATACCCCATCTTTAGGTCATCTTTTGCACATCATTTACAAATTGGTCGAATATCACCACATTCAATAGCTTGTTGGATTATACACAGTGTTTTAACGTTCTTCTCACAGTTCTTTACTTTGATTGTGCTTTCCAGTATCCAAAACATATTGTTGGTTTTCTAAATTCATTTGCTGATATACTACTTGTATCTGGTTATAAGTCCACTCACCACAACATCAGTTAAAGAAGCAATTGAAGACCAGTAAGAACTTGACATATGTTTCTTCATTGCTCGGGGCTCTTTAGAAATACGCACCCATGGGTCGGGACCAGGACCTTCAGGTTACCAGCTGAGCCCACTGACCGCTCAGCCACTAGGATGGAATCCAATCTCCAACAAGCGAATTCTAACTTCTGGCGACTCAAGATATAAAGAGCCATCAACAGTCAGTGTGGTCGGTATTTTTCCTGATATGCAGTTTACTGGACAACCCTATGGTCAGGGCTTCTCACTACAACTCCAGCTAGCAGTCAAACAGCAGTGAGCATCAGATTAATTTCAAGTGTTAACTTGTACGATACTTAATGTGATGTCGTACTAAAGAAGGGTAGAAGTTATTCAGCATATCTTCCTGTCGAGTTTAACTTAACCAATGATTGTACTAAAAAAAAGTGTCTTTCGTAGAATTTGAGACAAATTAAAATGATGGATGACTGCATTCCAATCACTACAATCAATCAATCCACTAACGAAGAAACGTTTTGATAAAAAAAACCTAGTTGAAAGTCAGTTTGCAACCAGTCATCTAACGAAACCAAAATTTTAAAAAATAACGGAGAGAAGACATTCGTACATAATAATATCATGAGAATAGCTTCATTCTGAACGTGTTTATACAAAGTACAGAATTTTCAGCTTGGTTTTATTTACTCCTAAATTAGAAGCTTCAAGTAAAGTAGTAATTTAAAGTATATTATTCCAAAGAATTCTGTTCGGTCTGAAACATGACCCGACCCCGACACGCTTGTCTCTTCAAACTGCTGTGTTGAAAGCCATTCCCAAACGCGCGTAAATACAAACTGGAGTCTAAGGACCTGAATGGATGGTTAAAACAAAGTATAACTGAGTACGGTTGACGCATTGTGCTCTGGAGAAAACTAGGCAGCCGAATGATTCAGGCAGGCCACTTCAGTGTAGGTATGTTGATTAAAGTCTCTACTCATGGCACACCGGCGTCTCATAGATGATAATACGAAGCCTACACTCTAATACACAGTTAAGAATAGCGAACCAAGACTTAACGAAATTTCTACCAAGTAGAGATTCATTTTCTACTTTGAAAAGTATATAGTCAAACTAAACTGCGTGAGGATGCTGGCAAAACTCAAAATTCAGCAATGTGTTCACCCTAAAAACTTTAGATTGTGCTGCGGGGATATAACTGTATACACCAATCTACATGGATGAACATGAAGAAGGATTTGTGACAACATATCTTCGCACATTTGCAGAAACTTGGGGTCTGAAGACCTGTGTAGAGCGGTAGCTCGCCGCAGTAAAATAATCAAAGTTCACGACAGATCCAGATGGCTACGTGTCGCTGACGGGTTCGTAACCAAACGATTGAGACCAAGTCTGTGCATCCAAAAGGAAACCATTGTTAACTTTACCTTACTACAGTGAATATATTTTACGATATTCAAGCTGTTTTGTTTTTTCAATACAATTTCCCATCCTGAATTTTGTCTTTAACAATAAACTTATGCCGACTATTTTCTGATCTCTGTTCAACTAAATTATTTAACCCTCACGTGTGGTACCGACTCCACACCTCAGTCTGTGAAATTCATTTACGATTTTGAAATATTCCTTAGTCATTTCTATACATACAAACTTCTACTCCTTTCCATTAAGCTGTTTAATCACGTCATATTAACAATATCCTTCACCTTTATGATCAACAACCAAAATATTTGAAAATTTTGTATAATGATATTACGTTTTCTATGTGGTTATATGCAGCTGAGAAGAATACACCTTGTTCAACTCACTCTCTTTATTTGTTCAAAAAACTGTAATACACCAACTAATCTAAACATCTGAGTAGATGAATTAACTCAGATTATGAAATTGATAATAAAATATCAACACAAATACAGAGAGCCCATTCTGCAGTTGCAGCTTTAGACAGTCCCTCTGTCAGCGATAGTGTATATGACTATCGAATGGAAAGTACAGTCCAAGTGCCTCTCTCGTACTCTGCTGAAGTGAAAGATAGGCCCTCACAAAGTTACACTACTTTAAAATGATTGGTGTTGAAATCCTCTCCAGTAAAACAAAGAGACAAAAACTACTTGATATATATATATATATATAATGATCAATGATAACTAGCAGTTACCTGAATAATAACTATGCAGTGCATAAAGGCAGAATTCCGTAGAATCAAGAACCAACTTTACAATCACCAAAGCATACAATCTATTCAACATATATCAAGTAGGCATATTTATGCGAACAACAAGAAAGTCAGGCAAAAATCATAAAATTGTGTACGGTGATGCCGGCTTACCTTTTCGCCTTTAAAAGTTTATTCGCTTCTCAGGTAAGGTGATCAGAGTGATAATAATAATAATAACAATAGAATATGGTTACAGGATGAATGAGATGAGAAGGGTGGATCAAGTGTTGATACAGGAAGACATGAATTTTATATACTGTATATTAAGGATGCACAAACGAAAATAACAGGCAGGACACACTGAGAAAATAACGAATAGAGTCAGATTTCCGAGTTTGTCTGTGTGTGTCAGTAAGTGGACGCAATGCATTTGTTGTGCACACACAGAAAATAATTTATAATCAGATTCGTAAGAAATATTCAAGACAAGATAGAGGATGAGTAGGGAAATAAATAAATACAAAGATAAATGCTGTGTTTTTACTCTTTACAAAAAACACTTCGAATTAATACATCAATGTAAATCATAAAACAAAACAAGAAACCGGAATGTTAATTGTAATCGTCAATAGAATCTGTATACACACAAAGTAGCATTATTAGCCGATCAATCTAAGAAGCCAATGATACAGTCAATGAAGAACAGTCATTTTCAGACTCAGTTACACCCCAATCAGACTGTTCTGAAAAGTTGGCATCAATCAACTCACGACGTCTTGTACGATAACGACCTCGACCACTATTGTTCTGTTGATTTGTCGTGCTCGCTTTATAACCATGACGACGATTCCTCCCATTTCGCTTACGAGATCCCCCAGTTAGCCCGTTGCTGCTTGTACGGGGAATTTTACAGTGAGAACAAACATTTTCATTGATCTAAACGAAAGGAATAAATAAAATTTCTTTTTGTTTGACTTAAAATCAAAGTCTAAAAAATAATTAAAAAGAATGAACCTGTGTGTATTTATGTCCAAATCTAATTCAAGTCTAGTAGTTTGGATGCATTTTGGGCATTGGTTATATGATATTTATTATAATAAAAAAAATTTGTATTTACCAATGAATGAACAAGTGGTTTAGAATTATGGTCCTACTTCCAGTCCCATTTCTTTTTCATTTCCGTTTTCATTTACTTCTGTGAATATATGTCAATTGATATTCATAAATATAAAGTATGGTGAACTAAGTCTGTACCCCGAGTCCTGGTATAAGTTGCATACTCCTTACATTATTATTGCCTTGGGAACATAAGGCTTTACCAGTGCATCTCAATCTCACTGTGTTCTTTACAGTCTTAATTGGCTACCCCGATCGCCTATAAGCTTTCATTTGCTCTCCACACAATCTCGTCTATGTCAACATTGCACTCACACCCAACTCTTAGTTTCCCATTCAGGTACTCTTGAGAGGCCATGTATGTGTAATGTCACTCAACGGTCTCCTCAGAGTGTGTCTAATCCATTTTCGTTTCCTTCTGCATTTTTCGGACCACAGGTTCACGGAAGCCATTTTACCTTCAATATAGAACCAACAAAGTCAGACGTTGTTGAAAGTCAGTCTGCAGCTAGCTGGAAATGCTGTTCGTGACGTGCAAGATCAGTGAACAATATAGGAGCACTGACTTACCGTAGTAGTTTTGGAAATTCGGATCTTGCTCTCCAAGTTCAGTACATACCCCTTAGCCGGGTCTCCTCTTTTTTCAGAAAATTGAATACCACTGTAGTCTAGGTTTTTAATAGTGGTAATTATGGCAACCTGCATCACAATTACTAATCATTACGTAATGAGTCGAAATGAGTCATGCCTTACTTTAACAAAATTCAGATATGACTGCTGAAGGTCAGGTAATCACATCGAAACGAGGGAATCAAACCATGAAGTCACTGGCTGTGACCAGGCAAGGGTACATATGACACTAAGAATCAATGCCTAGAGATTCATCATCAAAATCATTATTCTCCTTTTCATCATACCAATACGCCTGGCCACTGTACTAATATTTTGTTTTTATCTAATTAGATTAGAAAGTAGTTTTCACACTTAGTGCTAACTAGAATGCAAGAACAACAAGAATTGAGGTAGAATTTGTGTATGAATACAAAAACCTGAATTCAGATGGACTATGTCAAGTACTCACAATACTATCTGGTTTATATTACATTCCTGAAGCAAATCGAGATATACAGTACTAATAAAGGTGTCATTGTCACAAAGATAAGAATCGCCTATAGAATTTTTCACACTTGCCTGCAGACCTGATTATACTAAAAGGGTATGGTATGACTCATTGATTCATGAATACATTCATTCAATGTGTATTAATGTATGAATATTTACAAATAAGTATACATTACTTATCCATATTTTGTCGCCTTTGTCTCTAAAGTGTGACAACTTGAACTAATGCACTTTATGTAGAAAGTTTCAACTCCAAATAGTTAGTCATATATGCATTCTAAAGACACAGAAATATTCATAAAATCAAATAAAGTAAACAGACAGTACAATTTAATAAGCCAAGTGCAAAGCATAGATGAATCACTGCTTACACTATTCAAAGATGTTTTAATGACCGATAATTGTTCAAGTTTTTGTTGATGATCGTGCTCTTCTTTCGAGTTTGTAACTGGATCAAGAACAGATGTTGTTCCTATTATTCTTGTGGACGGTGACAATGATGATGACGATGGTTTTGTTCCATTATGATTAGTCATTAAATGTCCAAATTCTTTTTCTAATTGAGCTTCAGTGGATTCAGCATTCTTCAATAACATCTCTACAGCCGTTAGGCGTGCATATAAAGTGGCTGTAGCTTCCTTGATTTTGATAATGTTCTCTTGTTCTTCATTGGTAGACGCTTTCTCAACAGTAACAGTATCACCATCATGACGAGAATCTTCATTGACTTGTGAATCTTCCTTATCAGAGTGGAATCTTTCATCGAACTTGAAGGTATCAATACCTAGTTTTGATTGACTATCGCGATGATCAAGAGCAAGAAGATTCGACAATCGAAATGACAAATCTTTTCTAAAAGTGAAAGTAAAACAAAACCTATGGTTAAAAAATGTTGCTAAACATAAAAATGCGATTCAAATAAAACACGTAGGTGATTGAAGCTTTTCTGAACTGAGCAACATAATTCCAATACGTATGTCCAACAGTTATTCTTCACATATAGAATGGATGAATAGTTTCTGGGTGATAGTGGCGCGTCATGGCAAAGTTCACGGTATAAGGTGAAATTCAGCACAGTTTCCATAGGAATCCCACAATATTCAGATAATGACACATGACCCAATTTATCACTGGAGACAGTATCAGGAAGCAGAGCAAAATCTGTAGCATGCGTAGTGGCTTGACACCACTTACACTAACCAATACTGTTTGCCTATAAGATTCACGTGATGATCTACACACTGGAGAGTCATTCGACGACTAATTCAGCACAGGGGTAACCTGAATCGACTCGGCTTAAAAAAAGTAGATTCACTTTTATTTAGCTGCATTAAGTGATAAGATTTGTTAAATTGATAATAATTCCAGGGAACCAAACTTTACTACTTGTTATCATCCAAAATGACACTGAAGTACACAGACTTCAGGAAATTCGAACTATCATCAACCACAGGCTCAGTCATTACTCCACCAAAGACGTCAGCGAATAATATTCTGAAGCTTTCAATAACAACAAAACAATTTGTTTTAAACTTACTTTCTTGACCGAAGACTGTTTGTTTCCTGTTTAACCTCTGCCAATTGTGATGCAATCAAGAGTAATGATGTAGCAGATGATGAAATTGAATCAATATGCATTGTATCACTTTCAACTTTATTTAACACGTGAGTATAATGATGATTATGATGACAGTTCATAAAAGATACAGAAGACGGTACTTCTACCTGACATCCATAATCAGAATATTTATATTTTTTAACGCAGGATTGTTGCTCTACATTGAAGGGAACGCTATCAGATAATTCTTTGTTGAAATGATGCTCATGATGTAAAAAACCCTAATGATACACAAGAACAGAGATATGAAGAAATTAAAATACTAATGATAATAGAGTGATGAACAGTGGGAAGGTTAAACAACTCAAAAACTGACTTGGATGAATAATTCGGCAAGTTACCGAATTTCACATCAAAATATTCAGACTGAAGGTTCGACTGAACGACTGAACAAAGAGATTCTAAAAACCAATAACAAAATAATATCAGTTTGCAACACACCGTCAGAGAAATACTACCTTGTCACAGTGGTCGGGTTTGCATACCGCAGTGACCTAACAAGCTAAACTGGACGGGATTTATGTTACTGCAGGTCCTACCATGTCACAGTAGTTGTTTGGATAGAGGTTATACTAAAAGCAGTTACTATGGGGTAAATGCGCTCCAAAATCCAATCAGATAAACTGGCGTATGAACCTGTATTGGTAACCGGCAACCATGGGAACGTAGCTCCCTGACGTTGCTCCGTCGCCTTGCGGATTAGGCTCCAAGTTAAAGGCTCAGGGATGGTCCCCTAAGACAATCACCTGCTTCGGGCTGGGCGCCCAGGCGGTATCTCAGTCTTCACATGATCAACGAAATAAAACAACGAACTGTCAGTGAGACTAACTGCACGCTCGTGACAATGCCCTTGAACATTAAAAATGTTTCAATTGACGCATTTTTTCAACTCCATTTTTACTTTTATACACAGACTCCTGTGTTTTACTTTTGGTATCCTTGGTGTCTTCACTTTCGTCTTTGTCTGAATTCCCATTCTATATATGCCGTTTCGAGAAATTAGTGAGTAGCCTTCAAGACGGTTGTCCCCAGTGCGACATCTAACACAAATATCTTGAAAACGCGTGCCGCGTTCAAGCCCCACCACCTACAATCTTCGGACACTGATGCTAACCGGACAACAGAATGGTTTGGTAGGAGCATTGCAAATCCTCACTATCGATATCTGCGGCATTTCGGAGACCTGCAATCAAGATCCGAAGAAGGTGCTTCGATAATTCCCCCGACTGAAAGTTCAAATGGTATGTATGTTTTTACATGATATTAGCCACTATATTTATTTATCCACTTATTACAACTTAGGTAACCATTTTATTATAATAAAAGTTTTCTGTATTTCCCGGTGAATGAAAAACCGATATTGTTGCTTTTACTGACGTTTCGCCATTTAATATTGCTAGCGAGACTCGTCGTGGCTTTAACTGGATTATTTAGGAAAGTACTTATGATGTACTATCAATGTGGAATGAAGCCATTATCGTCCCCATCTTTAAAAGGGTTGACGTAACACAAGTGACAACCAAAGGGGTATCAGTGTGCTACCAATTGCGTCTAAAATATTAGCTGCTGTCTTGCTTTGCAGGTTGTGCAAAACACGGGAATAATTGATTCGCTAAGAGCAGGCTGAGTTTCGTCCAAGCAGTGGATGCTTTGATCATGTGTTCACCCCTCGTCAGCCGTTGGGACACCACCACACGTATTGCAGGCCAACAACCGTTGTATTTCTGAATATTAGGGCTGCCTTCGATTCGTCGAATAAAACTGTGTTCCGGAACTGTCTGCTAGAGAGGGGTGAATCTGAGGACTTTGTGAACATCCTGAAAGTTCTATACAGAAACACCTCAGGTTGAGTGAAGGCATACAACCAACAATGATCACAGTTCCTAAACAACATTTGGGTTAGACAGCCTTGTCCAGTCTCCCTACTCCTCTTTAACTTTGCCATCGATGACATTCTGGAGTCAGCTCTGAAGGACGTGCATGAAGGTGTCGTAGATCTGTCCCTGGACAAAGACTTTTCGACCTCGAGTATGCAGACGATATCGTCTTACTGTGCGACAGCATGCAGGTTGCCCAAAGCGCACTTAATCAGTTGGTGATCAGTGTCTGTAAGCATGGTATGTACTTTGCATCGTCACTTTTATCAAGAAACACCAGTAACATATTTCTGTTTCCACTGGAAATACTTTTTACAAAGGATAACTAAATGAATTCTGTCGTTGTTGGTGTTCAAAATTCGAATCTTGTTGTTTATGCTGAGTGCGCCAGATTTCCATACTGATTTCAATTTGATGAAGATCTGTTTTGCTTTTACGATCCTTTCCAGCTTTGACCTCATCTGTGCAACCTGCAGCTGTACGATTGCTACCTAGATAAGTGATAGAAGTGACCTCGTTCAAATTTCCTCCCCTCACAGTCATTGGTGCTAGTTTTTCTTATTGGTTAGTTATTTCACTCACTATGTTCACTCAAAGTTTATTGGTTTTCACCTGTAAGTCTTCGAGTTTGTATGATATTAGACATAAATCATCCGCAAAGTCCAAACCAGTTACAGCCTTCTTGTCGGGCTAACCTACGCCTGTCTCCTCGCTCCCCACGCACCGTCTTCAGCATGATCCAGTTCACCATAATTAGGAATATCATCGTGGGTGACAGTAGGCAGCCAGCCTTGTCTTACTCCAGTATTCACTTCAAACGCCTCACTGAGTTTTCCTTTGTGGATCCTGGCACGTGGCATTGTCATATAGCCAGCTGTTGAATGAAATTGATGAAGACCGCACGCTATAGTGTTGAGGTAGTTTCCAAATTACTTCACGGTCAACTCTGTGTGCGCTGGTGATGACACTTTCCGGCGATTTGCAGAGTGATGGTCGATTCAAGAGTCCTTTGAAGTGATCAGTCCACTGTTTTCTCTTCATCTCCTATTTGGTAATTAATTAGGTTCCCTTAACCACCCTTTACTGGTTTCATTTGTGTTGATCTATTCCCGGATAGAGACCTGGTTAACTGATATAATGCTCTGAGGTCTCTTTCACCTGTGGACTGCCTGTTCTGTTTCAGTTGCCAGTCATTGTGTCGTAGAATTGTCCTTTGTCTCTCCTAGCACTCTTCTTCACTTCTTTATTCGGTATAGTGTACATTGAACTCAGCTTCTCTTCCTGTTGTCCATCACTGCATTGAGTCACTTTCTCTTTCACAATCCCCTTCACATCTATTAGCTCCAAAGTGTCCGCCGAGAGCCATTCCTTGTCTTGCCACTTCTTTCTTCATAAAACGGCTGTACACATGTTTTCTTGAGCATCACCTTCACAGAGTTCCAATGTTCTTCCACTCATGCTATGCAATGTTTCCGATTTATCTCTGATGGCTGCAGTGAAGTTGTCCTTTGTAGTTTCTTCTTTCAGTTTCAGGATGTTGAGCTTGGATTGTGGTCTGTCTCCAGTTTATTTGAGGGCTTTCAGCTTCACCATGAAGGTTCCTTGAACTAGACGATAGTTTGAGCCCACATCCCGCTCCCCTTTTCGACTTTGCGTCCAGCAGATCTCATCTTCACTTTTCTGAGATTGAAGTGATGTCTATCTGGTTTTGATGTGCCCGTCAGGCGAAATCCATGTTGCCTTGTATATATCTTTGTGCCTGGATGTACACGCTACCTCCAATCACCAAATCATTGAAGGCACAGAAGTATGTGAAGAGTTCTCCGTTCTCATTCATTTCACCGAACGAAAGTCTCACGACCCGTGAGGAATTCTATTCCTGTATTTTCTGCTCCTAGTTTAACATTCACATAGCCTATTAGGATTTCGATGTCTTCATATATGGTGTTGTCCATTACTGTTCGCAGTTGTCGATAGAAATCTTCCTTCTTCTCTTGTTCCGCCTTGTCTGTAGGTGCGTAGTATTGCATGATAATTGTAACCTTCCTTTTGAATTGAATCTTGCTGTCATAATCCTGCAGGAGAAGATTGATCCCCATTGCGTAAGAGCTTTGGCTGTTGTTGGTGACATCATGATAGTCACTCATTGGCTCAGTGTGTTCGTGGTTGTCGTCTGGGTGGTTGGAGTAGATTACTGAATCTCCAGTTGACAATTTTGACAGTCCACACCTACTCCACCTGCCCTCACAGATTTCCAGCACTTCTATACCATATCTTCTCATTTCTTTGGCTACCTGGGCAACCCTTCCAGTTGCGTGCATTGCTCGAGCATTCCACATCCTCATTCTTATTTTTGATTTCATCTAGAGAAAACACATCAGCTGCCTGACTGGCTTCCCGAAGGCTTTCACCAGCCCGCTATGTCATTTCGCTTCTCCGATTCCAGCGAATGATAAGTCTGTTTTTCATATTTATTTTGTATTTTTAATATTTTTCTTGTGCGTTGAAGTCTCTATAGCAGTTTGTTTGGTTTTGTGGGGTAGAGTTGCTAGCTTCAAGCCTAACGCTCCCTCCTCATCCGGGCTTAGGACTGGCTAGATAACTAGCAAGCTATGCAAGTTTTTAATAAGATGAGGTCGAAGGTAATGACTGAAAGGTATTCAAGAACTAATCACATTCTCTACAGTTTTATTAACACCATTTCAACAATTTTACCAAATATTACTTAATGTATTCATGAAAACTTAGCAATAAGTATTCACCTCAACATTGCATTGTTCTTTTTCTACTGGAGTCATAGGAAGGTATCCCGGTATTGCTAATGAAGGAGGACGAGTATTCCCGCCAGAACCAGGAGATGAAGACAAGGCTACACCAGATGAAGTAGCTGTTCGAGAAGAATTGGACGAAAATGAGCCTCGGTTCCAGTGTGAATTGGATTTTCTCATAAATAATGTATCATTACAAGTAACGTCCATGTTGATTGCTGTAATTTGCTTGACTGGATCATCCGATCCAGAACGAACACGCAGTGTTGACGATAAAATTGGCATACCATCAACATTTGGATTTGTCTGTAGAACTGTTGGCTTGTTCCCACTTAAACACGATACACATCGTCGTGCACTAATTAGTTTATATGTTTTCATGTATTCTACAAGAGCTGGATCTCTAGAAGACAAAGTGTTCTCAGACTTCAACTCCCACAAATTGATCTCATCTACAAAAATATTTTTTAAAGTCTTAAAAACGTTCATACGAATTCTTAAGACTTTAATACAAATAAACAAAGGTTCTATGATAGATTAAGTCAATATCCGATATAAACTCAACTACACAGTCTTAATTATACTGGATGGAAGTAAGTGTTATCTTTCCATAAAAGAGAATGCACAGTTGATTTCCTACTTTAAAAAAGGTTACATTACGAAACTTCTATTCAGAGTTCCCCACTATTTGACTTTTAACAACATAACAAATAATCTTTGGAATGTGGTACAAAAGTGTAATGACATTTCTAAGGGAAAAATTATGTCGACTTAGAAAATGAGGATAATTCGGAACTTCAAGGTGAAAATGTCAACACAATGCAGAATCCTCTGGATACCATCAGCGAAAACCTTCGTATGTTCACCACGTAATTTGCTGCTGACCAAGTTAAGATGATGTTACATCATCCCCCCCACCTCCATGTGCTATGTATAATATGGCAACTTGAAGCACTGCACTTCTGTGCAGTCATTCAGTTTTTTTATCCATTTATGCTCCCACCAAAACATAGGATTTCAAGCTAGAGCTTTGAAGTTTCGGTAGCAGTGGTATTTATTTTTACCGGATGGGGTTGCTAGCCTCATGCCCAATCTTCCCCCTTTACCAGTCTTACTACTGGGGGTTTAGCGAGGTAAAGGAGTGCACTGGCTGGGGATCGGACCCCGAACCACCTGCGTGGTTGGTGGGCACTCTACCGCTGTACACCAACACACCAGTCAGTCAGTCAATGCTATTTCTCCTTACTGGTTAACTATCGCAAAAATTGAAGCAGTTCGAAATGACACACTTTGAAAATGTATACAGAAGAAGAAAAAAGAAGTATGTATATTTAAAATGCCACTTTCACTTGTCCTATGTATATACATCTAGTTCCTCTTTTGAATAACAACACTAGTCGGAGTCAGCCAGATTATCGGCTGCTTGACAGCACAAACACCAAGGACTTATCACTAATTCCCTATTATCAATAATATTGTCAAAACAACACTTCTGTATGAGATGAGGGCCTGCATTTTTACGCTAAATCCCTCCCATTCTCCATTTATGGATAATGCGATGATTTCAGAAATAAAAGCAAGAACGGATGGGGACATTCCTAGTCAATATTTAGCAATGAAGGTAATAACAATATGTAGTACTAATGTATCCATAATGATCAGTTGTAAAGACTGAAAAAGGCTTAAGGTCTACATGTTTGATGACGAATCCCATATAAATAAACTTATCGTGACACATACAAAAAGAACAGCATAAAAAAACAAGCACAAGGCACACCTGAACACCTTTGATCATTAACACTGATGTTATCATTACCGCAATGTTCATCGATAATACAGGTACCCATAGCAGCTCTGTCACAATTGGTTCTATGCAAATTAGAAACATCCGAATAAAGGACAAGTGTAGATGTTGAACAAACAGACGACGAATTAGTCTGTTCTTCAATAGGGTCAACAGGAACAGAGGTTGAAATAGAAGTACAACATTTTGTACAGCTTAAATGACTTGATTCCATTGTTGTAATTGGAGTGAAGGCAAGACTAGAAGTAATCTTTACCGGTTCACTGTAGATGTCATCCAATGAGAATACAACCTTGGAATGAGATTGATTATGAGATTCACTCTGTTTGACATCGCTTGAATTTCTAGCTTTCGTCCTTTGCTTTTCATCATTTCCACGCTTATCATCGTTGGTGTTGTTCGTGTTCACTACTGCTTCATTGTTTGAGGCTGCATACTCCAAACTACTCATACTAGCATATCTGCGGTGATTTGTGACTACTGACATCTGAGAAGACTTACAGTTATTCAATTTCCCGTCTTTTCTACACCAGAATTCTGGAAGACCATCAGACTAAAGAACATATATAGAAAAGAGAAAAGTAATATACATGATCAAAAAAAAACAAGCGACATAGCATAAATTACTTCTAAACATCTTAACCCAGTTGCCGTTTGATAAGCTCATCAATGTTTTAACGATAGATATAACCGATGTAGTTAGCAATAATAATGGAAATCCACGGATCAAGTTTGCAATGCGATCACTACAATTTAGCGTGGTTCAATTTCAAATGGTAAAGGAACACGCTCGTTATTATCTTCATATGATGCCCATTGACATTCGAAACAAGGCCCATGTTTAACTGAAGAAAAGTAGGAGGTAGTAGGTATAATCGGCCATTGATGCGTCGATGGTTCAATATCATATTCCTTCCACTTCCAACCGACGTACTCTTAGACCTCACCTAGTTGAGCGTTCGACAAGTACCTCTACCTAGCAAAAAACAACACCGCTGTCACTGAAAGTTCAAAGCTTGAAGTCCCACGTACAACTCGGGACGTTAAGGAATGAAAGTGATCCCCGACAGATCTCACTACTGAGATTATGTTTACTAATTTTCTGCAACGGATAGTATATGTGATCCAGTATATTATAGTAGAAGTGAAGTTATATTCAGTCTACCAGTCTGTTTTATTTTAAAATGTGCATTCTGGTTCTCAGTAATATCATTTAACCCCAAAACTCGCCAACTAACTACCGGGTTTCATTTTTACATGCGCGCAGTTAACGATATTTATGAAGTAAGGACAGCTATGTTACTCACCTCTGCATTATTTGAAGCAGGTATCAGCGATTCATCCTGATAACCACCACAATCATCTGGTGTAATATTCGATGAAGTATAACTACTCGTGATTGTTCCAGCTATAGATTCACAAGTACTCGGTCCAACTGAAGGTAGTGGAGGCAATGGTTGGGCTAATAATCTACGACTTGGTGGGGGAATATGCCAATGAGATGATGGATTGTTAAATAATGAAGTATTCGATTCGTTAGAATACCCTGGAGTTTGTATTTTTGTAGATGATTCAAATATCAGTAAAGGGGAACTCCAACGTCTTTTAAACAAGCTTACATCAGAGGTCTTTGACATTTCTGACGAGTTAGCTAAAGGTGTAATTGTAGCACTGATATCCTTATTGTTGGATTTGCCATATATTGTTTGTGGAGGGCATACTTCATCGTAAATTACTGTATTTGAAAAGTTTGTATTATTTACTGCATACTGTGTTTGATTCACACAAACCAGATCATTATCCCCATCTTCATGAATATCTGAGTAATACACTGAAGTTTGTGAAGTTTCCATAATTGAATTGGGAATACGACCAACCCAGGATGAGCTGACAGTTGATAAGAGATTATCTCTTTTTAAATGGGTTTGTTGAAAACCAGTCCTTTCGTGTGTAACCGAAGATTGGGGAATATAACCTAGTTTCGCTGAGGCGATTCCACGCATAGAATGACCTGCAGAGGAATAAAACAATAAAAAGAAAATTAAGAAGAGTAGGTAGAAGTGTTACTTCAACAATATGTTAAGATTACAAAATAGAATTTGAGTATCAAACTAAAGTGTCCTTTATATTAAAAAAATCCATGTTACTACTTGAATGGAATAGTAAAAACAAAATTTTTCCATTCAACAAAATTATCCATCCACCATCATAAACAAACTTCAAGCTTAAACCATCAACAAACACCAATGGCAGAGATTTTCTCCCAACTTTCATTGATTTTTTAGATAGGAATACTTCTTTTCATATTGAAAACTGCGTAATGAATTCAACCCAAAGATTTACAAATGGTGTAGTTCGCACTGACTAGGCCAACTAAACTAGTTATAACCTCTTTCATTATATTTACTAAAGTAAAATAAGTACATTATGGGCGGCAAAACATGCAACAAACAAAATCTGCTAGTATGTGAGACAGCTGTGGTTAGTGACAGTATCGAAGCATTCAGCTTTCTTTAAAGGCAAATTTGAATTCAAGCCTGATCAAAAACATAGTGGAGCAGAGTCAGTAGCTACGTTCTTGCGCATTTGGGTGACCGAAACAGGTCCAGACGCCGCTTTACGACCCCTTTGGACTCCAGAAGTTTATTGGGTATTATGAATCACAATGCATCTGAGCCAGCCATTGACAACGACGACTTTGAGCCAGGTCACCAATTTTCGCCACTCTTCATTAGTTCTTACCATCCCAAAGATCTCAACCAGTCAGGAAGTCTACACCTCCCTACGTGGCTGGATTAAACTAACTGTTGTGGATTTCATTGACTGGTGAGGCCATGTTTTGGTTTGACTACCACTATCTCTTTTCCAACCTGATCCATCCTATATCAGTCAGTTAACATTGCCCGTCAAGGAAGGCGATGGCTAGGCATACGTAACACACGCCCTAACCATCTCAGTCGATGTAGCTTCACAGCCTCGTCGATTGATTTCCCTTCCTTACCTAGCACTCGGCCGATGCCTAACCTCAATATTGCTCACCCTATTATACCACATAACACGCGAGATAGAACTCAGGCTCCTATGATCAAAGACAGCTAGCCTTTTCATACCTTCCATTTCCGATTAACAGCCATGTCTCAGTCATAAAGGAGAACAGAGAGAACTGCTGAGCGGAACACACACACTCTTTGATCGACAGAAAGCTGGATATCACGTTGATACCAGAGATGGCATAGATCGGCATTTGCAAACTGAGCCTCCTGTATCCGTGCTGAGATTTCGTTAGCGATCAGCCTGCTGGCGTTGGCTGATGCAACTTCCCAAAACAGTGAAGTGGTCAACACGCCCCACCAACCACTACTTCACTCGCTATCTTCAAGATAGGAATTAGTCGATGAAGTACAGTCCAGTCCTGTAGCATTATCTTACATTTGACAAGGGGAGTGAATCTCATACCAAACATTTGAAGATTGCTACTCTCAAGGTGTTCAGAAGACTCTGAATTTTGTCAGTGCCTTAACCCAGGTGGGAGGACTATATCATCTGCATATTCTAAGTCGACAAGATTATTCCCGTATGGTAACAGGACAATCCGTGAGTCGCTGAAGCCAGTAAGGGTTAAGTCGGTTAGTACATCTATGAAGAAATTAAAGAGAAATGAAGATAGTGGGCATCCCTATCGAACAGTACTGGTTATCACCACTTCAGATAACAACTTTCCGTAGGTTCTCACCTGGCTGCATAAGTTCGAGTACAGTGCCTTGATTACTGCGATGTATCTGCTCAGCATTCCCTTCACCGTCACGTAAACAATAGGTTTACAATCAGGTTAAACGAAATGACAATAAAGATGAAATTAACTAAGGTTCGTCGCAATACTAAAAAGTAGAAGTGTGATATATGGGAGTACGATTCTTTTTTTAGTAGAGTTACTACTCAGATCTAATCCTTAATGTTTTGAAAGAACCAGCTAAGAAAGTGATCATTAATGATGGTAATGACTGACAGAATTTCAAAGTAGAACCTTGCACAGAGAGATGTAGCAGTTCGAATTGTCATACTCTGTATAACACAAAATGAAAGAGAAAAGAGAAATAAAAGAACTGTAGTGAGCAGAAATGTATGGGAGAAAGAATAAGTATACAACGGATAATGAGGACCAAAAGGGATCTGGGGAGATCACAAGGAGTGAAGGCATCCGCTCTCTTGAGAACGATTTTAAACCATGTCACTAAAAGTCTTAAGTCATTGATTCTTACGGTCCCAAATATCCTAACCAGTCTCTTTAGCTGGCTCATACCAACTATCAAATATTTCATCGACTGATACCAGGTTTTGGTTTGACCACCCCTAACTCTTTTCTAACTGCTACCAATGTAAGTTTAATGATGGTTAAACTGTCACTTTTCAAAACGGGAAAAAGCCAACAGAAAAGAAGTTTTGAAAGCTAAAAATGAAATAAGAGTTATATATATAACGAGAAGGCAACGAAATAAAAGATGGTACCATTTTATTCTGCTAAAGCTGTAGTTCTTGCTTTGTTCAAATTCATTAAGGGGAATAAATGTATGAAATATCAAACTTGTATTTGTATGCAGCTGACAATGTGCTAAGGAGAATAATATCACCTGGTTGTGCAGCATCGTTCAATTCTTTTACCCAAGGGATCATAAGACATTTTTATGGTGTGAATAGACAAAAATAACTACTAAAGTAAGCCAGATAAAAACTCTCACAGCATATTAACTGCCATCTTGCCGATTTTGCTTAAAACTATGCATTAAACATATGAATACTGCTTATGTGTTGTTTCTAACACGCACACACACATACAAATACCAAAATATGTCTCAGAGACGGCGAGTGGGTAAACCTCCCTAACTCTTATGTACTCTGTGTGTTCCACTCCAACAAACAAATCTTGCATAACTTCGATGTAAACCGAAATTTCCCACCACCTAAATTTTTTCAACTAATCATTTGAGAAGCATAAAACTAGTTCATCTTCGATATGTGCAACAAAACTACCCTATTTGCATTGTATCCACCAAATGAAGCGGCAATACAATTCTGCCTTTAATGGGATGAGAAAGTACTTGTTTATGGTATTAAGAATCAATCCTATCAGCCTTGATGAATTAATTGGCAGATAATTTTGCGAATACTAATGTCTATCTAGTTTGCTTATGTGCAAAATCATAGAACCCGTTTATATATATATATATATATATATATATATATATATATATATATATAAACTAAATAAAATGGATGAAAAGTAATCCAGCTTCTCCCTCCATGAGCGAATACATCCAGCGATGGCAGGACTGGGCCAGTAATTTCAACGCCAAAAAAACAAAACAAAAAATGGATATTTTGTGTTTACATCAGATTCTGAACTGATTAGTATTCAATTATTGGTTTGTAGAGTTTGATTGATTGGTTAAAGGATTTCATCATGAGTTGACATCGGTTATAGAACCACTGTAAATCCTGGGAGCGACTGACCCTATCTAGATAGGTAGTCAAATGGGGTTCTAGTGGGAACTCATGACCAGTAGGATCCAGCAGGTAGGGCGTGAGGATGAATACTCGCTGAAGACATTAGCTAGAGGTCATGCTATGTCATGAATCGGTAAAAGTTGGAATTCATCGGCCATTGGATCAGGTCCCATTGGCTTCATAGTCTACGAGCTCGCCTTGTAACCAAAAGGACCTGGGTTTGAACCCCGGTGGGTGCGTACTGCTGAAGGGTCCCAAACTAGGCTGACAAAACAGCCATCGAGTACTCCCAGGCCTTCCAATTGTTCTCTAACTGATTTCAGCTATTGACGAAATCCGGCGAGCTCCGAATTCAATGAGGAGCGAAAGCTGCACAAAAGGAAACTTACGAAAAGTCTCCGCAAGGACCGTGAACAGTGGTGGGCGACAAAAGCCAAAGAGATGGAGAAAGCTTCGAGGATAGGCAACACCAGGCAACTCTTTAGACTCATCAGGGAAACGGGTGGGAGAAGACAAATCATCAGTGAGACAATCTCGGAAAAAAATGGCACTATAATTAGCTCCCAGGATAGACGACTGGATCGTTGGAAAGAGCATTATGAGGAGCAGTTTAATTTGCCCACAGCCACGCTCAACCTTCCGAGCATCCAACACCTCCCTGAATGGGATATAAACACAGGTCCTCCGTCACTAACTGAGGTTACTAAAGCTGTCACCAATCTGAAACTAGGCAAAGCAGCGGGACCTGATGGAATGACTCCAGAGGTATTTAAGTACGGTGGAGACAGCTTACTGTCCGGATTAACTGAGGTACTAGGCAGCGTCTGGGAATCAGAAGAAGTCCCATCGGGTTGGTGTAAGTCACTGATTATCCCCATATACAAGAAGGGAGACAAGTCTTCCTGTGATAATCACAGAGGGATTAGCTTGACTAATATAGTATCTAAAGTCTTAGGCTCAATAATCATGCGTAGACTGAGTGGTGCTCGGGAAGCACAAACACGAGAGAGCCAGGCAGGCTTTAGACCAGGAAGAGGGTGTATTGATCATATCTTCACCCTCCGACAGATTCTAGAACATAGGCATTCCTACCGGCGTCCAACAGTCATTATATTTCTTGACCTAAAGGCAGCATTCGACTCTGTCGATCGGGAAGTTCTCTGGAGATGCTTGGCTGTAAAGGGAATTCCAAGAAAATATATTGCACTGATTAAGGCACTCTACTCGTACTCATACAGCCAGGTGAGGGCTTACGGCGAGCTGTCATCTGAACTGATGACGACCAGTGGTGTCCGTCAAGGATGCCCATTATCTCCTTTTCTATTCAACTTCATCATAGATGTGTTAATGGACTTAACCCTAGGTGACTTCAGCGACTCAGGGATTGACTTGCTACCGGGGAATAATCTCGTTGACTTGGAATATGCAGACGATATAGTCCTTCTAGGCGAAGACGCTGACGAAATGCAGAGTCTTCTAAACACCTTGAGCCGCAATCTACGAATGTTTGGCATGCGATTCGCTCCCGCCAAATGCAAGATGATGTTACAGGACTGGACTACATCGACGCCTAGTTTAAAAATAGGAAGTGAAGTGGTAGAGCACGTTGACCGCTTCACTTATTTGGGAAGTACCATCAGCCCCAACGGGCTGATCTCTGACGAAATCTCAGCACGAATACAAGGGGCTCGTTTCGCATTTGTTAGTTTACGCCGACTCTGGCGTAGACGAGATGTTCGACTATCGACCAAAGGGCGGGTGTACTGCTCATCAGTCCGCTCCGTCCTCCTTTATGGTTGTGAGACCTGGCCACTGAGAGTGGAAGACATGAAAAGACTAGCTGTCTTTGATCATAGGTGCCTGCGTTCTATTTCCCGTGTAAAGTGGCATAATAAGGTGAGCAACATGGAGGTTAGGCGTAGAGTTCTAGGTAAACAGGGGAAATCAATCGACGAAGTCGTGAAGCTACAAAGACTGAGATGGTTAGGACATGTGTTACGTATGCCAAGCCATCGCCTCCCTCGACGAGCAATGTTAGCGGATATAGGGTCAGGCTGGAAAAAAGCTAGCGGCGGTCAAACAAAAACTTGGCACCAGTCAATGAAATCCACAACAGTTGGTCTAAGCCACGTAGAAAGGTGTAGACTTCCAGGCTGGGGTCCTCGGGACGGTAAAAATCTATGGTTGGAAACAATTGGTGACATGGCTCAAAATCGTTCTCAGTGGCGCAGATGCATCCACTCCTTGTGACTTATGATCTCCAATGAAACTGTTTTGTTTTTCTTTATTACTCCTTTGTCTCACACCTCTGCTCACTGTTTCTATTATGCTTTTCTTGTACTTTCTTCTCTTGCTTCGCGTGCTACACGGAATGTGGCGACTTGAACTTCCGCACATTTGTGCAAAGTTCTATGTCGGAAACAGACAGACAGAATGACGAAATCCTGTTACCGATCTGATTAGTGTTAAAGTGACAGTAGTTTCTACAAATTCATGTTCAATAGTACACTACTTAAATGTTTTCTCTTTACTTCTGATGTTCTTTGGTGCTTCATAATCTGGAAGAATGTGCCTATAAATGTATAAAAACTAAATAGGCAGTAAAAATAGGCATCGATGAACTATTAACCAAAAGTCATATCTCCAGATGTGGGCGTTACACTGTTATAGTGTAAACGGGACGAAATCGGTGTGTTTTAAGCCACGCCCGCGTTAAAATCATATGTAATTATTACAGAATACACGGTAAGTGTATAAAGTCTACTCAACGCAGACTCCATACTTTTCTTATTCTTTTGTTTTTGTATATAATCACTAAGCCTGAATGTTTATTTGGATAGGAACTATCTATCAGTTTTTGTACACTTTGAATATATATATATATATAGTCTGAGATATTTTTTATTTTTTTTTATTTATTTTTTTAATTTTTGATTCCATACCGTATTTTTGGTACAAGTATGGAATTTTCACGATGGATATCGGTAGCCCAAATTTTGCAGGCCGACCATAGATATCAGGTGTGCGCCGGCAGGGGATCGAACCCCGGACCATGTGCATGGTCGGCGAGAGTCCTAACCACTGTGCCACAAACTGCCGAGTCACATATAAGTAAGATGCCCACTATGAATTTACAACGATGCAATTGAAAGAAATAGGCAACAATGAAATACGATGACTTGTTAAACACTTTAGTAAAAGTAATACTTGACGGACGAGTTTAAGGGCTGATGAACATTACTGTATAACGCTGTGAGACTTTATCAAAACAAAATTTACCCATAATGGAATTGGTTTATTTGTACCTAACCTTTCTCCAACCTAAAGTTAGTCCGATATGTGTTGCCTTTCACGGCTAATTGTGACCGCGTACGTAGATGTGACGCAGTCACCGCAATTAATAAAATTTCAACACATCCTCAGTTGATCTGACTTCATAATCTACACCTAGACCTTAATACTATTCAGTCTGTGGTGCCGTATGATACGATGAATACTAAGAAAAATCCGCTGAATTCGCAAAAAAAGTGTCAACCTGAAAAATTAAGGACGAAAACCAATATTTGAAAGTTTTTGAGATTCAGAACCTTCTTCTAATCACAATAATGACGATGCTAATTATTTGAATACTCCCGGGATAGTCCACTATGATGAATGAGTCGATATTATTAAAATCGATATTATCTATGGCAGTTTACACCAGTAAATCAAGTGTGCAAGCAAAACAAATAAGTAGAGAAAAAAGGCCATGGAAACGCTTACTTGTTCCCTGAATACAATTTATAGCATTTTCTGTTGGTGAAATAAGACCCAATGCTTGAATAAATCCTTTAATCCAAGCACCCATTTGCAACTTGTCTGTAACATCAAATAACAATGGTGTAGAACATTGCGTCGGTACAGCAAGACGAATGGCCGATGAGTGACGTTTATCTCCAGCTAAGCCTAGTTCAACTTTGCCTGGTTCTAATGGCAAAGAAAACAATGGCCAGTTAGTATCATCCGTATAATAGTCATTAAAGGGATTGTTGTGTTGACTAATATTATTATAACAACCTTTCTTATTCAAGTAGATTTCAAGACAATTCGACTTTAAACAACACCATCTAGTAGTCCATGAAACTCGCCCAGGTATACAAATGGAAGCATTACCTAAATTGAAAAATAAAAATATAAACAGTAAGCATAATTTATCCAGGAAATTACGAAATACTGATTACATATTCACTATTGAGTAATGTTATACTAGTCAAAAGGCACACAGTCCCTTAGACTATCCCAAAAATACACCACGTAATAGAGCCTTCAGTGCCATACGATCCATTCTATGAATAAGGGGGAAAAGTACCTAGAAATATTGTTATCTCACAGCTTTGATAAAACTTAAGTAGTTTACGAGTTCACTAGTATACTAGCCAGCTCTAGACTCGGGAAAAGAGGGAGGGTTGGGTGTGGAGCTAGCGACTGTAACACGAAAAACAATCCAATCCCTACAGAAACTTCAAAACATAAAAACATTTAAACAAAAAACTTATTCTTTGCTGTAACAGTAGAGACAGAATGAGATGGATTAGTGAAACCCTCCATGAAGCCAGTCATCCAATGTTTCCTTATTCGATGAAAATAAATATACGCAAGAAGGCATTAACTATTCGAACGACGTTAAAAGTTGTGCAGGCTTCTCAGATTGTGAAAGAAATTAGAAGATATGATATAGAAGTGTTAGGAATTTGACAGAGCAACTGAAATGGAAGTCGACTCTCAAAACCGTTAACTGGAGCAGCAAATAATCTGCTCCAGCCACCCAGACGACAACCACAAGCACACTAAGCGTGTATCTATAGTGATGTCACCTACATCATTCAAGGCGCTTATGTATTATGAATCAATATAATCAAGGATCATAACAGTAGGATCTAAATCAAAAGGTAAGAAGGTTACTATACAATGCTACCCTCTACAAATAACCTGTCTCTGTCTGTCTGTTTTCGACATAGAACTTTGCACAAATGTGCGGGAGTTCAAGTCGCCACATTCCGTGTAGCACGCGAAGCAAGAGAACAAAGTACAAGAAAAGCATAATAGAAACAGTGAGCAGAGGTGTGAGACAAAGGAGTAATAACGAAGAACAAAACAGTTTCATTGGAGATCATAAGTCACAAGGAGTGGATGCATCTGCGCCACTGAGAACGACTTTGAGCCATGTCACCAATTGTTTCCAACCATAGATTTTTACCGTCCCGAGGACCCCAGCCTGGAAGTCTACACCTTTCTACGTGGCTTAGACCAACTGTTGTGGATTTCATTGACTGGTGCCAAGTTTTTTGTTTGACCGCCGCCAGCTTTCTTCCAGCCTGACCCTATATCCGCTAACACTGCTCGTCGAGGGAGGCGATGGCTTGGCATACGTAACACATGTCCTAACCATCTCAGTCTATGTAACTTCACGACTTCGTCGATTGATTTCCCCTGTTTACCTAGAACTCTACGCCTAACCTCCATGTTGCTCACCTTATTATGCCACTTTACACGGGAAATAGAACGCAGGCACCTATGATCAAAGACAGCTAGTCTTTTCATGTCTTCCACTCACAGTGGCCAGGTCTCACAACCATAAAGGAGGACGGAGCGGACTGATGAGCAGTACGCCCGCCCTTTGGTCGATAGTCGAACATCTCGTCTACGCCAGAGTCGGCGTAAACTAACAAATGCGAAACGAGCCCCTTGTATTCGTGCTGAGATTTCGTCAGAGATCAGCCCGTTGGGGCTGATGGTACTTCCCAAATAAGCGAAGCGGTCAACGTGCTACACCAACCAATTCACTTCCTATTTTTAAACTAGGTGTCGATGTAGTCCAGTCCTGTAACATCATCTTGCATTTGGCGGGAGAGAGTCGCATGTCAAACGAGATTATTCCCTGGTAGCAAGTCAATCCCTGAGTCGCTGGAGTGAGTTAGGGTTAAGTCCATTAGTACATCTATGATGAAGTTGTATAGAAATGGGGATAATGGGCATCCCTAACGGACGCCACTAGTTGTCACCACTTCAGATGACAACTCACCGTAAGCCCCCATCTGGCTGCTTGAGTTTGAGTAGAGTGCCTTAATCAGTGCAGTGTATTTTCTCGGCATTCCCTTTACATCCAAGCATCGCCACAGTACCTCTCGGTCGACAGCATCGAATTCCGCCTTAAGGTCAAGATATATAATGACTGTTGGACGCCGGTAAGAATGTCTATGTTCTAGAATCTGTCGAAGGGTGAAGATATGATCAATACACCCTCTTCTTGGTCTAAAGCCTGTCTGGCTCTCTCGTGTTTGTGCTTCCCGAGCACCACTCAGTCTACGCATGATTATTGAGCCTAAGACTTTAGATACTATATTAGTCAAGCTAATCCCTCTGTGATTATTACAGGAAGACTTGTCTCCCTTCTTGTATATGGGGATAACCTAGACCAAGAGAAGGAGGAATTCTGCGGACAACTGTAAACAGTAATTGACAAGAACCAGTTGGTCACATCAAAATTCTAGAGGGTGATATGAGAGGAAGTCACACCGGGATCAGACAACACAGGAAAAGAACTAGTCACACGTCAAAAATGCTTAGTGAAAGGAAGAAAAAGGGAGAACTTTCCTCAGACTTCTGTGAGCTTAGTGATTGACGGCAGTGTGTACGAACACGCTGATATTCACAAGGCGACGTGGATTTCACCAAGTGGACAACACGTCAAAAACACTTCGTCTCGACCTTAAAGAAGTGGAGACTAAGCCTACTGGATGCAAGACCGAGATTTAACATCACTACTACTGCAACGAACCTTCAAAGAAGCTAGAGATAGACCACAATACTCAGAGACGGAAGTACAAAGTACACATTAACTGCAGCCATCAGAGCGAAATTGGAGGCACTAAGTAGCATCATCGAGGAAACGTGTGTGTGAGAGAACACTCGAAGTCACTGAAAGTCACATGGAAGGAAACTTGTATAACCATATTACACAAGAAGGGGTAGGACAAGGAGTGGCTAACTTGGGAACTCATCGAGGAGAGTGAAGCAGATGGACCCGTGTTAGGAAGAACAACAGAGCACTGGACTAATGAGTGAGGAAGAACGCTAGAAAATACAAAAGACACTCTCAAAGAACACTGGCTACCGAGGTGGAACAGGCCGCAGGTGAGATGTACTTCAGAACGTTGCACCAGATAACCAGGTCGCCATCCAGGAAGAGATCAACACAGATGAAACCAATGAAAAATATTGACGGTAATCTAGTCACAGCGCAGAGTCTCGAGTCAACTACCGTCTACAACCCGATCAAGAAATACCATCAGCAGGCAACAATATTCCGATAAAAGCACGTCTTAAAAGCCATAAATTTACTGAAAGCGAAGAAAGTGTGAAGACTAAATCGAATCCTTTCAGAAGCAATGAAAACGGACCCAGAGAACTCAGTGGATATGGTGACACAACCAAAGGTTGACTCCGACATTATACACCTCAATTCACACTGTAGACGTCCTCAATTGACCTCAAACAGGTCACTTGTGACTGACCTCAACTAGTTGCCCCCACGGCTCTGCAGTCACGCAACACGAATGCTTTTTCTTTTCAAGGCATTTCAAGAAGTAATCAAATTCCACAGTGTGTAGGCAGCTAGCAAATAGTAAACACTTTTCACAATTCAGTTAGCACACAAAATCTTCCTCATTAATTCTGTTTTCTTGATGGAGTAGTGGGTGAAAACCGTTGAATAATACAAAACAGGACGAAACACCCAGCCAATGCACCAGGTTTTCGATGATTGTCTAACAGATACCGAATAATGACGCAGTCTACCTTGAAATATACATAATACTCTGGTGTCATGATTGCTAAAAGTTATAAAGTAATATTTGCAGATCAAATAACTATTTATCTCGAACTCGTCTTCAATGATAAAAAATATGAATCAATACAGTTGCATCATAACCATTTTCATCACTAAGAAAATGTACATACATAAGAGAGTGAAGTTGCATAATGGATACATACAACTACTTTTCAGTTCATACGGTCACACTAAGAAGGTAAGAACCAATCTAGAAGACTCAATCTGTACCTCACTGATTGACTAGGTTTCAACATAGAACTCTGTAAAAAAGCGCAGCAACTGAAGTTGTCACATTCCATACGTAACAAAAAGGTTGAGGCAGAAAAATACTCAAAAGAACCATAATGTGCAGAAATGTAAGGGATGAAGTGAATAATTACGATTTAAAAGAACAGGAAGATTTAAAACAATTAGTTCCCTTAGTTCTCAATGTACGACATATAGATTATAAAATGTTAGTGCATCTTTGTCAATGAAGTAGATTTTGGGGCATAGTCTCACACCATTAGTTCTTAATGTCTCTAGGTCCCTAATCAAGTTGTCTAAACCTCCCTCAAGAACTCAAGCCAACTACCAAAGACTTCATGAATTCATCCCAAGTTGTGATTTTGACCACACCCAACTCTTCGCCGAAGTAATTTCATATGAGCCAACATTTATCGTCAAGGAAGGAGATAGCTAGGCATGCGAAACACGTGCCTCAGCAACCTCAATTCATGAGGCTTAACAACCACGTCGACTGACTTTCTTTCCTTAGCTAGCACTCTAAGCGTAACTTCAATAGTGCTCACCATATTGTACTAAATAAGTACGTGAGGTAAAATGTGAGAATGTGTAGTAGCCAAAGACAACTAGACTCCTCAAATCTTCCGCTTTCAATAGCTATTTACCACAGCCGTAAGGAAGGGCGGAGCGAAGTGCTACGCAGTATAAATGTCCTTTCAACGAAAGCCGTATATCATATTTACGCCAGAGATACGGAAAATTAACAAGTGCCAAACGAGCCCTTCACATCCGTGCTGAATTTTTTTCAGCGATCAGTCCGTTAGGGCGAAGTGGTCAACATGCTCAACCAGTTCAGTGCCTGTCTTTAAATGAAATGGGGCAGAGCAGTCCTGTAGCATTATCTTACGTTTGGCAGGAGCGAATCGAATGTCAAACATACTAAGATTTCTGCTCAAGGTGTACAGAAGACTGGATTTTGTCAGTGTCTTCATATAGAAGAAGAATATCATTCACCTACTATAAATCGACTAGAGTGGCCCGTGATGACAAGTAGGTCTCCAAGTCGATGCAGTCAGTGAGGAGTACCTCCATTAGTGCATCTATGATAAAATAAGACAAAACTGTAGGCAATAGAAATCCCCCATGGATACCGCTGGTTGTCATCTATAAACTCCAACACAGCTGCGTATTTTGTACCTGCATAACAGAAATACTGCCTAAATATGCTATCAATATCATCGCATAATTCCCATGCAGTATCTATGTATCGAAGGATGATTAAGTGATTTTTAAGCATACTTTTAGGTGGGACGACAACTTCAAATGAGCTGATTCAATCCACAAAAACAACAGGAGCTAATTAATTATCTGTGATAAATCTTAGAAAACTTACCTGATATAACTACTTGATTGCCATTAAGTACACATGAAGTGACAGAGTGTGATCGCATGGAATTCAAATCTAATAATGGACCATGTTTTGGCATAACATTTACATTGATCTGCGAAGAATTAAACATGTCAAACAATCCTGGTGAATCATAACACATAGAACGCGGTCGATATGTTGAGGAATTTGAGCTAACTGAAGATGCATTATGGCTCAAAAACCTGGCACCAGCTGCTTCTAGCTGGGACCAACCGAATCCTTTACCAGAACTTTTAGACGAGTCCCATAGACAAGCTGCCGCGGGAGGTGGCAGTGGTTGTGGAGTTATTGATGAAAAGATTTGCTGTTGCTGAAGACACTGGACTGATGAAAATTTTGAACATGACCACTGACCATCACTCAATATTCTCCGGTGTCCTACTCCTTTAAGGGCTTCATTATTTTGTAAATCGGAACAGCTTTCAAAAACAGACGAACAGTTTGGTTGTAATGATTGTGGAAGTGATTTGCGCGCACGACGCTTAGAGTTAAACGACTCTACTTTTCGACGCATTGACGAAATTAGACTGTTGCGACGTAGATTGTGTTTAGAACTAATCATGTGTGCGTCAAATGTGGACGACAATGTCATTGAAAAGGGTCTTGATTGTACTGAACTAGTAGGCTGACACTGGAGTGGTTCATTCACACTACCATTATAATCAATATTAGTAGTAGTAACATCACTGGGCATACCACTCATATTAATTATCATTTCCGTTTTATCAACAGCAGTACGACTACAACTAGAGGCAGCCTCATGAGATGTACACATTACACTGCTACTTTCTTCTAAAGACAAACTTTTCAAGTGATTTACAATCGGCTGAAATAATCTATCAATTCGATTATTTTCATCGGATGATGCATCGATCTACAATGTTTAAAAAAGTAGAAAAATTGAGACTAAATCGATCTTCACAAAACAAAACAACCACAGAAACATACTAGTAAGAATTGAAAACAGGGAAGTCAACAAAGATTAACAATTTGTCCGAATGTAGATTTCACCAAAAAAAGAAACCGGCAACAGTCTAACAACTACTAGAAATTAGCCACCATCAAAGCTGTTTTGCCCTACTTAAAACTCATCAGTAGTTAGATCCTCATCTGGTACCCATTGGGAATTATGAGTACAATCGGATTAAACGTCCGTGGCACTAGAAAGAAACAAAAACAACTTTACACACTATTAACAGAGAGGCATAATACATTGCACAAAAATTCATCATTCCAAGTTATTATATTCGATTGTAATGATGAGTTCATGAAATGTATGATGTGATAACAAAAAAGCACATGCCATCTAAACTATTTAATAAATGCTTCATACACGTTTACTGCATGTTTACCTTGCCGCAAAACAATATGTAATTATATTTGCATGAAAATCAAGTTTGACAAGTGTGTAATGTAGCAGCATTTGGAAAATCTTTTCTTTAGACATTAAAATTAATCGTCTTTTACCTCATTTTCTCTCTTTGTATTCTAAGTATCGTGTAATAAGATGCTTCTTTTGATACAAGGAAGTCGGTCAATGAACAAGTCTAAATTAAAATGTATTCGATAAGTGCAGCAAGTGCATAAAAATATTCAACGCCTGAATTCTAATGGGGCAGACAAAGAAAGACTAATTAACAAAAATTGCAGTGTATGTTTAATTCAAAACAAAACAACAATGCAAGCGGCTTTTGTAGAATGTAACATCAATTGATTGTTTGCACATACAACAGAATGCATGGACAGACTTAGTAGGAGTAGTAATATTTACAAGATATTATGGTCATATAGGCTTGAGATCACATTCTGTTGAATATTTGCCTAGGCTAACACAGATAGTGCAGTTGAATAAGCATTGAACATGTAGAACAATATTCGCAATAGATGTTGGAGAATTACACAAAATTTATGATTACACAGTAAATCGAGTTCCTACTTTAAAAATTAATATCATTATTTTATTTATTTCCATTTGACTAGATGTTAGGCTGCCCTTTGAAAACAAGGGGTGATACAACACTGAGATTATGAAAATAACAATCACTTTGTAGATGTGGTGGAAAAACATTTTAAAGGAGGTAAAAAACACTATCATACTGTGCCTTTAGTGTTTTCAGCAATTTGTATCCAATATGAAATAATGCTTTTCTGAGGTGATTAGATTTTAAGTAATAATGTTGATTGTACACAGCATAAAGGCTCATTTACCTATATATATCATGTATTGTTTAGTGAACGTATTTCAAAAACATTCACCAAAATGAGCACTTTAGATGAAATAGTCGTAGGCTACAATAGAGGTAAAAACAATTAGATACTTATATATATATCAGTACATAAGGTTAAGGCCTCTTTATTTTGTAGGAATTAAAGTTAATTCCAGCGTAGATGTCGTCACGAGTGGATACCAACTGAGGAATCATTGAAGAGGAAAGGGACATTGAAATGTTGTTTTATCCTAGAATGGGACTCTTCATTATGCTCCCACCAGCGTGACACAGATAAAATGTCCAAGTGAACGGATGAGTAGCTATAGAATCTGTTGATGAGAGTGCTACATCTTGAATTGTCAAGGATTAGAATTCACAGGTGACTGAATTCAAAATCAATGGCTGAATGATCAACGGACTGGCTTCACGACCAAAACGTATTGAATTCGATGCCCTAGTGGGATGGTTATGAGTGTTCAATGCTATCTAGTTCTACTTGATTTCCAACATCAACCCGCCCCTAACTAATGTTCCTTGGTGGCGATTGATCTCAGTCGCGTATGGAGATGCATGCTGTTTTTGAGAGCTGTTACTATTCACAATAGTTCCAAATATTATCACATAATTAATATTTCACTGATGCAAGCAAACACAAAAGCAATGACTCAGTGACCACGACCAAGAGCACTCCAACGTATCATCATTCCTTAACATTTCGAGTGGAACATAGGGCTTCAAGCTGGAACTTTGAATTTTCACCAGCGTTGGCGATTCTTTTAACACAGTGAGGTCGGTAGCCTCATCCCAAACCTTTCCGCTTTACCGGGCTCATAATTGTCCAAGCAAGGTTTATGAGTTTGTCGACGGGGAATGGAACCCGGACAACCTCCATGTTAGACCAGTATTCAACCATTGATTTTAAATAAACACAGTGGCGGATAAAGCAAACCTCTTTATATATATATATATATATATATATGTATATGTCTGTCTGTTTTCGACATAGAACTTTGCACAAGTATGCGGAAGTTCAAGTCGCCACATTCCGTGTAGCACGCGAAGCAAGAGAACAAAGTACAAGAAAAGCATAATAGAAACAGTGAGCAGAGGTGTGAGACAAAGGAGTAATAACGAAGAACAAAACAGTTTCATTGGAGATCATAAGTCACAAGGAGTGGATGCATCTGCGCCACTGAGAACGACTTTGAGCCATGTCACCAATTGTTTCCAACCATAGATTTTTACCGTCCCGAGGACCCCAGCCTGGAAGTCTACACCTTTCTACGTGGCTTAGACCAACTGTTGTGGATTTCATTGACTGGTGCCAAGTTTTTTGTTTGACCGCCGCTAGCTTTCTTCCAGCCTGACCCTATATCCGCTAACATTGCCCGTCAAGGAAGGCGATGACAAGACATGTGTAACACGTGTCCTAACCATCTCAATCGGTGTTACTTCACAGCCTTGTCGATTCGTTTCCCCTCCTTACCTAGCACTCGACGCCTAACCTCAATATTGCTCACCTTATTATACCACTTCACACGGTAGATAAACGCAGGCACCTATGATCGAAGACAACTAATCTTTTCATGTCTTCCACTCCCAATGGCCAGGTCTCACAACCATAAAGGAGGACGGAGCGGACTGATGAGCAGTACGCCCGCCCTTTGGTCGATAGTCGAACATCTCGTCTACGCCAGAGTCGGCGTAAACTAACAAATGCGAAACGAGCCCCTTGTATTCGTTTTTTGCTGAGATTTCGTCAGAGATCAGCCCGTAGGTTTTGGCTGATGGTACTTCCCAAATAAGTGAAGCGGTCAACGTGCTCTACCACTTCACTTCCTATTTTTAAACTAGGCGTCGATGTAGTCCAGTCCTGTAACATCATCTTGCATTTGGTGGGAGCGAATCGTATGCCAAACATTCGTAGATCGCGGCTCAAGGTGTTTAGAAGATTCTGCATTTCGTCAGCGTCTTCGCCTAGAGTGACTATATCGTCTGCATATCCCAAGTCAACGAGATTATTCCCTGGTAGCAAGTCAATCCCTGAGTCGCTGAAGTGAGTTAGGGTTAAGTCCATTAGTACATCTATGATGAAGTTGTATAGAAATGGGGATAATGGGCATCCCTAACGGACGCCACTAGTTGTCACCACTTCAGATGACAACTCACCGTAAGCCCCCATCTGGCTGCTTGAGTTTGAGTAGAGTGCCTTAATCAGTGCAGTGTATTTTCTCGGCATTCCCTTTACATCCAAGCATCGCCACAGTACCTCTCGGTCGACAGCATCGAATTCCGCCTTAAGGTCAAGATATATAATGATATCATTATGAGCTGACATTAGTTAGAGAACCATTGGAAAACCTGGGAGTACTGGACAGCTGTTTCGTCCTAGTTTGGGACTCTTCAGCAGTACGCACCCACCGGGATTCGAACCCAGGACCTTCCGAATACAAGGCGAGCTCGTATACCATTAAGCCACTGGGACCCGATCCAATGGTCCTTGAATTCTAACTTCGAATCCCGGTGGGTGCGTACTGCTGAAGAGTCCCAAACTAGGACGAAACAGCTGTCCAGTACTCCCAGGTTTTCAAATGGTTCTCTAACTAATGTCAGCTCATGATGAAATCCTGAAACCAATCAAATCCCTACAAACCAACACTTGAATATATAATGATAGCTGGACACCCGTAGGAATGTCTATGTTCTAGAATCTGTCGAAGGGTGAAGATATGATCAACACACCCTCTTCTTGGTCTAAACCCTGTCTGGCTCTCTCGTGTTTGTGACTCCCGAGCACCACTCAGTCTACGCATGATTATTGAGCCTAGGACTTTAGATACTATATTAGTCAAGCTAATCCCTCTGTGATTATCACAGGAAGACTTGTCTCCCTTCTTGTATATGGGGATAATCAGTGACTTACACCAACCCGATGGGATTTCCTCTGATCCCCAGACGTTGCCTAGAACCTCAGTTAATGCAGACAGTAAACCGTCTCCACCGTACTTAAATACCTCTGGAGTCATTCCATCAGGTCCCGCTGCTTTGCCTTGTTTCAGAATGGTGACAGCTTTAGTAACCTCAGTTAGTGACGGAGGACCTGTGTTTATATCCCATTCAGGGAGGTGTTGGATGCTCGGAAGGTTGAGCGCGGCTATGGGCAAAGTAAACTGCTCCTCATAATGCTCTTTCCAACGATCCAGTCGTCTATCCTGGGAGCTAATTATAGTGCCATTTTTTTCCGAGATTGTCTCACTGATGATTTGTCTTCTCCCACCCGTTTCCCTGATGAGTCTAAATAGTTTCCTGGTGTTGCCTATCCTCGAAGCTTTCTCCATCTCTTTGGCTTTTGTCGCCCACCACTGTTCACGGTCCTTGCGGAGACTTTTCGTAAGTTTCCTTTTGTGCAGCTTTCGCTCCTCATTGAATTCGGAGCTCGCCGGATTTCGTCAATAGCTGAAATCAGTTAGAGAACAATTGGAAGGCCTGGGAGTACTCGATGGCTGTTTTGTCAGCCTAGTTTGGGACCCTTCAGCAGTACGCACCCACCGGGGTTCAAACCCAGGTCCTTTTGGTTACAAGGCGAGCTCGTAGACTATGAAGCCAATGGGACCTGATCCAATGGCCGATGAATTCCAACTTTTACCGATTCATGACATAGCATGACCTCTAGCTAATGTCTTCAGCGAGTATTCATCCTCACGCCCTACCTGCTGGATCCTACTGGTCATGAGTTCCCACTAGAACCCCATTTGACTACCTATCTAGATAGGGTCAGTCGCTCCCAGGATTTACAGTGGTTCTATAACCGATGTCAACTCATGATGAAATCCTTTAACCAATCAATCAAACTCTACAAACCAATAATTGAATACTAATCAGTTCAGAATCTGATGTAAACACAAAATATCCATTTTTTGTTTTGTTTTTTTGGCGTTGAAATTACTGGCCCAGTCCTGCCATCGCTGGATGTATTCGCTCATGGAGGGAGAAGCTGGATTACTTTTCATCCATTTTATTTAGTTTATATATATATATATATATATATATATATATATATATAAACGGGTTCTATGATTTTGCACATAAGCAAACTAGATAGACATTAGTATTCGCAAAATTATCTGCCAATTAATTCATCAAGGCTGATAGGATTGATTCTTAATACCATAAACAAGTACTTTCTCATCCCATTAAAGGCAGAATTGTATTGCCGCTTCATTTGGTGGATACAATGCAAATAGGGTAGTTTTGTTGCACATATCGAAGATGAACTAGTTTTATGCTTCTCAAATGATTAGTTGAAAAAATTTAGGTGGTGGGAAATTTCGGTTTACATCGAAGTTATGCAAGATTTGTTTGTTGGAGTGGAACACACAGAGTACATAAGAGTTAGGGAGGTTTACCCACTCGCCGTCTCTGAGACATATTTTGGTATTTGTATGTGTGTGTGCGTGTTAGAAACAACACATAAGCAGTATTCATATGTTTAATGCATAGTTTTAAGCAAAATCGGCAAGATGGCAGTTAATATGCTGTGAGAGTTTTTATCTGGCTTACTTTAGTAGTTATTTTTGTCTATTCACACCATAAAAATGTCTTATGATCCCTTGGGTAAAAGAATTGAACGATGCTGCACAACCAGGTGATATTATTCTCCTTAGCACATTGTCAGCTGCATACAAATACAAGTTTGATATTTCATACATTTATTCCCCTTAATGAATTTGAACAAAGCAAGAACTACAGCTTTAGCAGAATAAAATGGTACCATCTTTTATTTCGTTGCCTTCTCGTTATATATATAACTCTTATTTCATTTTTAGCTTTCAAAACTTCTTTTCTGTTGGCTTTTTCCCGTTTTGAAAAGTGACAGTTTAACCATCATTAAACTTACATTGGTAGCAGTTAGAAAAGAGTTAGGGGTGGTCAAACCAAAACCTGGTATCAGTCGATGAAATATTTGATAGTTGGTATGAGCCAGCTAAAGAGACTGGTTAGGATATTTGGGACCGTAAGAATCAATGACTTAAGACTTTTAGTGACATGGTTTAAAATCGTTCTCAAGAGAGCGGATGCCTTCACTCCTTGTGATCTCCCCAGATCCCTTTTGGTCCTCATTATCCGTTGTATACTTATTCTTTCTCCCATACATTTCTGCTCACTACAGTTCTTTTATTTCTCTTTTCTCTTTCATTTTGTGTTATACAGAGTATGACAATTCGAACTGCTACATCTCTCTGTGCAAGGTTCTACTTTGAAATTCTGTCAGTCATTACCATCATTAATGATCACTTTCTTAGCTGGTTCTTTCAAAACATTAAGGATTAGATCTGAGTAGTAACTCTACTAAAAAAAGAATCGTACTCCCATATATCACACTTCTACTTTTTAGTATTGCGACGAACCTTAGTTAATTTCATCTTTATTGTCATTTCGTTTAACCTGATTGTAAACCTATTGTTTACGTGACGGTGAAGGGAATGCTGAGCAGATACATCGCAGTAATCAAGGCACTGTACTCGAACTTATGCAGCCAGGTGAGAACCTACGGAAAGTTGTTATCTGAAGTGGTGATAACCAGTACTGTTCGATAGGGATGCCCACTATCTTCATTTCTCTTTAATTTCTTCATAGATGTACTAACCGACTTAACCCTTACTGGCTTCAGCGACTCACGGATTGTCCTGTTACCATACGGGAATAATCTTGTCGACTTAGAATATGCAGATGATATAGTCCTCCCACCTGGGTTAAGGCACTGACAAAATTCAGAGTCTTCTGAACACCTTGAGAGTAGCAATCTTCAAATGTTTGGTATGAGATTCACTCCCCTTGTCAAATGTAAGATAATGCTACAGGACTGGACTGTACTTCATCGACTAATTCCTATCTTGAAGATAGCGAGTGAAGTAGTGGTTGGTGGGGCGTGTTGACCACTTCACTGTTTTGGGAAGTTGCATCAGCCAACGCCAGCAGGCTGATCGCTAACGAAATCTCAGCACGGATACAGGAGGCTCAGTTTGCAAATGCCGATCTATGCCATCTCTGGTATCAACGTGATATCCAGCTTTCTGTCGATCAAAGAGTGTGTGTGTTCCGCTCAGCAGTTCTCTCTGTTCTCCTTTATGACTGAGACATGGCTGTTAATCGGAAATGGAAGGTATGAAAAGGCTAGCTGTCTTTGATCATAGGAGCCTGAGTTCTATCTCGCGTGTTATGTGGTATAATAGGGTGAGCAATATTGAGGTTAGGCATCGGCCGAGTGCTAGGTAAGGAAGGGAAATCAATCGACGAGGCTGTGAAGCTACATCGACTGAGATGGTTAGGGCGTGTGTTACGTATGCCTAGCCATCGCCTTCCTTGACGGGCAATGTTAACTGACTGATATAGGATGGATCAGGTTGGAAAAGAGATAGTGGTAGTCAAACCAAAACATGGCCTCACCAGTCAATGAAATCCACAACAGTTAGTTTAATCCAGCCACGTAGGGAGGTGTAGACTTCCTGACTGGTTGAGATCTTTGGGATGGTAAGAACTAATGAAGAGTGGCGAAAATTGGTGACCTGGCTCAAAGTCGTCGTTGTCAATGGCTGGCTCAGATGCATTGTGATTCATAATACCCAATAAAATTCTAGTGTTCTTCCGTATTACTATTCTTTTTGCCTTATTCACACTTCTGCTTATTATCTCCCTTTACTCTCGAGTGTGGCAACTCGAACTGGTGCACATCTGTGCAAAGTTCTACGTTGGAACCAGTCAGTTAGTTAACCTATAAGCCAAATGGATAAACAAATACTCCAGAAGGGTTCATCTTCCACATGAACTACAATCATAAAAGCATGCATACAGAAAACATATGGACATTTTTTCTCTATGATTAGCAAGCATTCTGAAAAGAAGCAACATTATTTTTATCCCTACAATAAATGCTCATAAAATTTAAACTAGACAATATAATTTTTAAGCAACTATGTCAATGTGTAAAAATTACAGAGGGAGACAGCTCACATATATTTGCACAATATGAAAAATAAGTGCAAAAAATAAAACGTAATCATACTTTTATGTTTGATATTTCCATAGGAATAGGACGATTACTGGAAACCAAAGACTTTGAAGATGTAAAATTATGATTACTTAGTGAATACGAGCTCAATCCACTAGCATTCTTATATGAAGAATTCATAGTAGCCGCAGTAGTATTAGTAGCGGCAGTAATTGCAACACTTGTTGTATTAGCACTATGCGGTACAGTAAAATGTGGTAGAAATGAACAAACTTCTGTAGGTGTAATCCCTTGGGAATACTGGTTGATTTGCTAGGATGAGATGTGAAAATCAGAAGAGAGAAAAAACGCTGAGACAGATGCATTTAATTCAGCATAAAAGGTATATGTGTTTCGTTAACTAAAATATTTAAAGAAAATCCTTGTACACCTTAAATGGACTCCATTGTATCTTGAAAAGTTATCTCCAACAGTGGAATTTGACAACACTTCCTACAGAGTCAGTCAATAATGTATATATATATATATATATATCGATTAGTGTTCCAGTGTTTAGTAAATATAATGAATCTGAATCCCTTATATTATTTGTCAAAAAGAATCTTCCCAACAATACATACTCGATAAACAGCTAACACTTGAATAATGCTTGATGGGGGAATTTAATGTGTAAGTACGAAAAGAGGAGTGACCCAACTTCTCCAATTATTGGGTTTCGTGCTGGAACTCACCTAAACATACCGAGATCTAGACAGTCAAATAGGATCGTGAGTGATAAACCCCAGTCAAAATACGGACTGTGCTTAACCGAATAATGTTTGCGTTGTACTGCGTATTAATGAGTACTGACAAATATGAATGACTACATTCTCATTAAGAAAAATCGAATAAAACCTCTCTCATTCTGAAACTCACAAGTATTTCAAACTTAATCCTGCAAGATGTTATAAGTTGACATTGCTGAAAACTATAAAACAGGTTTACTATAGCCTGATTTCCAGTAGCTGATATCTATCTATACCAGAGCAGTGAGAGGTTCTCTAGGTCTCTATACATCATACACACACAAACATAATGTGATAAACATATATCACTATTAGTCAAAGATAAATATAACAATTCAACTGTAAGATTTGTTAAAAATCCAACAGGGAATAAATCACAATAAGTAGAACATACTCGAACCCAAATTAATGCCTGCTCCTCGGTTGGTGCAGCTAAAACAATAATTTCACGACTGAAATGTGCGATCTTTATCACATGCTCCATACCACTGTCACGTCCTGAATATATACCAGTAGAACCACACAAGAATAAAGCTAATGATGGAGTAACTGAATGCCCCGTCTTATAAGCAATCAATCTTGAACTATTGGTTAATAAACAAATATTCAATTGTATCCATTTATTCGGTTTACAACGATGCGACAATACACCAGCCAATGTCCATATTGAATCCATTAATGAGCTTGGACGACGAGTTTGACAGCCAACCAAATATTTCTTTGGTAATCTACATATTGAAACCAAAATAAAAGTTTTTAAAGAAGAAAAAACAACGGAAAACTAATGAATCAGGATAATTTAGATAACGCTACATTAATAACACTTAAAAACCAAATAACATAAAGTTCATAAGCTTACATAATTTATTTATAGTGAAGATACAACTAGCTAGCAACAAACACTAGAAGCAGCATTGAATAAATCATGTTACCCATTGAAGAACATGTATACAAGTAAAAAAGTAATGGCACAAAGTGTAGGGGAAAAGAAAATCAAGACTTTAATGTCACACTGACTGGCCACTAGAGAGATAACCAAAGGGATTTCTTTAAACATTAGTGCTAGACAATTTTTATGAGTCAAGTCTTCAATGTAATCACCGTGAGAGATGAATCAATATCGCGGTGCACTTTGAACACATATTGGATGGTGGAAGGTGATTGGTGAGAAGCCGAAGACCCTAGTTTCAAGCTTATAAACACTTGTCATTAAGACGTACCTGCAGCATTGAGATACGAACTGACATCTCCCAGTGCTAACATATTATTCCCTTTCCAACGAAAGGTGGTCCAGCTTAGTTCAATATATGTGTAATTTGTTTGAATTGCAATCTTGTTAGTTGCTATGGTGACAAGTACAAACCAAATTATGTATCCACAACACTGTTAGGCTATTCAAATACAAATGATTATGTATGATCTAGAAATCGGATACGACTAACTCAACTAACCCAGCCTAGTGGTATTATCCTACATAAGACTATTTCAATATGAATTACAAGGCCATGATTATGACCTATAATAAACAGCAAATCATTTAGTTACCACTAGCAGATGAAATGAAAGTGTATTACAGAGTATATGTATATATATATGCAATAGTCAGTTCGTCTCCCATTCTATTACTACCTAAACATCATAAAAAATTAGTATCAAATATAAGATATTTTATGATGAACTACGTAATGTGATTATTATAGAAAGTCATTTCTCTGATTAACGCACACTCAGTGCTCATTATTCTCATCTTTTGAAGACCAATGAATTCCATTAGATTGCATCTCACATACTTTTAATAGTTACACTATAAAAAACACCAGTTTGATTTCTTTGTCTTCTATTGCTTTGATTTACATCAGTATTCGTGTATTTATTTCACCTTATTTATAATCGTCAAACAAAAACTGATTAATTAGTACTGTTACCTAATACTTCACAAATTGTTGTTTGAAATTAAATTACCCGGGTCAGCTCCTTCATATACCAGATCAAGAACCACACACACTTATATTGTGAGGGTCGGTGACACTACTACGCATTCGCTTCACGTTGAAGTAGGTGGAACAGGAACGAGCTAAACTTGTATGCTCTTTAATCTCGATTTCAAACTGTTCGCAACAATGACAAATAGTGTTCGACAATGAACAGTAGCAATCAATATAGATGATACAAGCATGCATATTTGGTTTCTGAGTTCCTGGAATTCGGTCACTGCAAAATATAATTGCTTGCTTTGCTTTACTTCGGTTATCTCCTACGGGAGGATGAACCGGCTTCATGAACATTTCGAACGTTTGCAAGAGAGTTGATGAAGTTTCATGGGAATTGGGTACGAGTGATGTCCCCAGCATCGCTCGGCCTTTTGTTTGAGAGTACAGCTCTAGCCTTTACACAACCAAGTGTGACCTACAAGGCAGTAGGAGTGGAGTATGGAGTCAACCATCCATTGGCAACCGGTGATCGGAGTCCGGTTCATACTCCTTTTTGAATGGGGCCAGACATTCAGGGCATCCAATAAGCCTTTTGTCCATACGTCTGCCAGTGAACTCCGGTGAGCTTCATACGCCAGTCGTTGGAGGTTTGGAATCAGGGTTTAGCCATCTCCCCTAGACTGTCATCCAATGGACAGTCAACCCGGTGAAGAGCGCCGGGCATCCGCAAAATATAATTACAAAATAAGTATCACATTCCGAGTCTCTTTTGAGATTAATCAATCTTGGAAAGTATCCTAAAAACGGCTCACCGCGGGAAACTGCTGACTATTTCGAATGCTTTGACGCATTGTGTTTGTCGAAGAATATGCGAGATGATAAAATTTCAGCTCATTTTATTACTGTGATTGAACAGACGAGGGAAAATCAGGCAGGCTTTAGACCAGGTAGAGGGTGCATAGATCATATCTTTACTCTTCGACAGATTCTAGAACATAGACACACTTTTCGGCGTCCAACAATTGTCATATTTCTTGACTTGAAGGCGGCCTTCGACTCCGTGAATCCAAAGGTACTATGGCAATGTCTGACTGTGAAGGGAGTGCCAAGAAAGTACATTGCACTAATTAAGGCACTCTATTCAAACTCATATAGTCGTGTAAGGGCTTATGGGGAATTGTCATCTGAATTGGTAACAACCAGTGGTGTCCGACAGGGATGTCCACTTTCCCCATTTCTGTTTAACTTCATCATAGATATCCTGATGGAAGTATCCTTAACTGAACGTAACGACTTAGGAATCGACTTGTTACCAGGGAATAGTCTTATGGACTTAGAATATGCAGATGACTACTGCCAGTGGAACTTCAAAGCTCAATGTTGAAGCCTTATGTTCCCCGTTCGGGAAGCAAATGAAAGAAAGGATGGAATACACCGATGAGTATGATACAGAGGCATAACTTTGTTACTTATTTATATAAACTAAGTTGGAAAGTTGTGTGAATGCCGTGAAATGATTATGAGCAATAAACAGTGCTCAAAAACATCATCAGTAAATAAATAATACTGTATAACACTGTGAGACTTTATCAAATAAATTTACTTTATGGTGGAACTATGCTCTACCACAGTGCCCAAAGTCTATATTCTTATATCATAAGTGGTTCAGTTTCAGAGGAAAGAGTGAAGACAAAAACTCCAACATATTTTACTATGCTAGTTCAACCTAGTTGAAATATGATGCCAGTCTTTCGTGCATATTGAACAAGTAGTAATATCAGCAACAAAACAAATAGTAATAATAATCCCATAGTGTAACAAATCTAATCGTACGTGTACGTATTGATGTATAGCCAATCACTAAGTATGCTGATAATTCTATGTTTGTAATTTAAACTTCTATGAAATAAAATCACGTTTATTTTACAGTGTTGAAATAGGTATATATATAGAGAGAGAGATTACATAATTATAGGATTATACACAGAAAAGTGCATCAATTCACCACCGATGGTAACAATTCTCAAAAAATCACATATAAACAAGGTTAATTTGTGCATCCAAAAGAAGTTAGTTCAGACATTATCATTACCTTGGTCATCTAGGTTTGAGTGATCCCGAATGTTTGTGGAATTTTCTTAATTTTAGTTGATATTTTATTTACTATTATATCTTTATTATTATTATAATTCAAGCATCTTTAGTGAACTGTAATTCCATTGTGATCTTACTTTACAAATCGACATTATTTAAAAAACACTAATATTGTTGTTGACTACTAATCTAGAATATTCTATGTACATGAACATGCATATATAATTGTAGAGCCAGAAGAGGAATTTATCGAAAAGGATATTCTTTGCTCAATTATTTTGTGTTTTATAGATATCTGAATGAATATTTTTGCTATATTTACAATTGTATCGAATAATTCATATTTCTTAACTTACATCCGAAATTTCCACCTCAACAGTGCTCAACATTTATTTATTTTTGTTATTACTATTTGTTTATTCCACGTACCTTTCCCACACTACTACAATTATTATTATTATTTGTATAATAATAATAATATTATTATTATTAGTAGTAGTAGTAGTAGTATTCTCACTTCGAATTGCTTCCACTTGTCATTCTAAATCAAAACGTTTTTTCTTAATGTTGAATTCTAGCTTATCAAATTTCACAGCTTGTTAAGCAACATTTTAATATTAGCCTACCAACCTTATAGTTTCGAATCCCCTTCCAACATCTATACATCCTATGAATTATTCTACATGTGACATTGATCGTTTTGCTACTTCACACTTGATATTCACCTATGATTATAATCACATATTTCATACTACTATTATTATTACTATTATTGTTTTATGCATTCACACCTATGTTTAAATATCTTCACGAGATATAATTTCTTAATATGAGACACCATATATGTGTATATACGATTGACTGTACGACATGATGATAAATTCGTTGTAAAGAGTTTCTTCGCTGAATATGTCTATCTTAATAGCAAATTGTATGTTTATTATTATTATTATTATTATTATTATTATTATTATTATATCCTTTAATTCCTATAGGAACATAGGGCTTCAGCTGCGCATCTCCATTGCCTTCTGTTTTCTGCCAACTTTTTCACTCCGTTCCAAGTCTGCCCACATGCTTTCACCTCCTCTTCACATGACCTCCTCCAAGTCACCCTTGCACTGACGACCAACTCGCCGCTTCCCTTTCGGGTCCCACTCGAGCAATGGCTTGTCTAGTGATGTCACTTGATGGTTTCCTCAGCGTATAACCAGCCAATCCATCTCCATTTCTTCCTGCCTATTTGTTTCACAATCGGTTCCTGCTGGGTTGGTTCTCTCATTGCCAGAGATCCCTGTTGCTGATCTTTTCTGACCGGCCATCTGATCTTGAGTAGTGTTGAGAGAAGACAACTGTTGATGAAGGTCTGAAGTTTGCTTGAGATGCTCTTTATGTATGTTTATTACTGTGTGTAAATCTGTATTCTAATTCTACTGATTATTCTCAAACATATGATAATAACTAAAAGTGGTTGTCTGAGTTTGTTTGAGGATTATAAAAACAAAAACACTAGGTTTTTGACGGTATTCTTGTAAAATAAGCATGTACATATGCTGGGTACCTGACGGACTGGTTGTCTGAATTTCAATTATCCTAAAAATACGTGATTATTATTTATTTTTTATTTATTTCATTTCTTTGTGTTTGATCACAGCTTGATTCCACGCCGTATTTTTGGTACAAGTATGGAATTTTCAGGATGG